AAAACAGGATGTATCTCTAAATGTGGAATTATTGGTGATTTTTATCTTCTCTTCATTTCTTCATATTTTTCTAATTATCTACAGCAAAAACATATCAAGTTATAACTGAAAAATTTTATAATAAATAGTTTCCTAAAATCAATGTATATAGCTTTGTATTTTCATAGCCATAGGATACACAAAGGATTAGATACTGTTCATATGGACAAACTAATTAGAATTATAGATTCATTTATTTTAGTTTTCTCCACACATTTAGCCTGCTGGCAAATGCTCCATCTGCAGTCAGTGATGGGAACAGTGGACCCTGACACTCGCCACTCTCACAGAAGGCCTGTGTGCACAGCAGAGACACATGGTTGTTGAGACGCATCCTGAAGAAAAGCCAGCCTGCCAGTACCTAATACAACAGTACTGAGAACAAAACTGCAATCTCTTCAAAGGTGTTTCAGTTAGAATAGAATTTCATATCCAGTTATAAATGGTGGGAATCTAGGCTTAACAGAAAATGGTTTATTATTACAAAAGGACAAAGTTCTCTAGATGACAAGACAAAGGAAATGCCTCCTATCCTGCAGAGATGCTTAATTAGTTGTTTTAAACAAACTGATCAATTGAATGTTCTGGCTTTTCAGGCATTGTATATGATTTGTTAATAGCCTTAAAACCATGCTGAATATCAGTTATCAGAAAAAAGCTCAGAATATAGAGTTCTTTCAGATTGTAACTATATCAGGGTTACTTGTCTGAACATTAATTAGTATTATACTATAAATGAACAGAAATAATGGTTAATAAAGATGTTTAGCACAGGCTTTTGGGCACTAAATCACACTTAAAACACTCATAGAACCACAACATGACACCACACAGAACTGGATTTTTTTTTTTTTCAGTTTTGGCTGGGGCTGGACTTGACCCCACTACCTCTGGTATATGGGGCTGGTGCCCTATTCTTTGAGCCACAGGCACCACCCTAGAAGTAGATTTTAACTTCTTCTTTGTATCAAACTACTGCTTGCAAAACAAAGATAATTCTGTTTCTCCTAATATTTCATGGAAGAAAAAATGAGCTTCTGTGACATATTAAAAATATACAGAGAGCCTTTGTCCTTGGCCTCTGACACAAACTCCTAAGTGCCTTAGAATTTCCTGAGTGGCAGGAGATTCTTTTGTTCTAATGAAGTTCCCTCGCTGGTCCCTAAACAGCTTCAGAATGGGGTCAGTTGGCAGAAAGACCAAACCATAACCAAAAGCTTAGGATTCTAGCTCTCACCCCTCAACCTTCAGGAAGGGTTAATAATGGACCCGACTTTCCGAAAGGAACCACTGTAGAAACCCCTACACAATGGGGGTTTTAGAGAGAGCTTCTGGCTGGTGAACCTAAATCTTAGAAGCACGGTGTTAGGTAGACAGCCAGGGACCTTCAGCCTTGCTGGGAACAAAGGTGGGTGCCCTGAGCTATCGCCACACCTGAGGGAGGAAGAAACACCCTACAATCTCCCGCTCAGAACTTAGCACCAACGGGAAGAGAATGCAGAGGATTCTCTGGCCGGAGGCCAAGCAGCACAGGCACAACAGGATGTGGACCGTGGCCTGGAACAACCTTCAGCCTAATTACCGTGTCAGCAGTGGTTCACCTGCCCCCACCAATGGGCTTTCAGAGAGGCTCAGGGGAGACCTGCATGTGAGTAAGACAAGACGGAGGTTACATAACTCCCACTGTCCCTCAAAGTAGCTTCATGATGATGTTTGAACCGTAGGCTGAGTCTATGAGATGTAAAACAGGCCCCAGACCATAACCACCTGAGGCCTTCCTGTTACAGCATGGGGTGTGCTCACTGTCTGTGGTGAACATATCGTCAGATGTTGAAATTAAAAACCCAGAGTAAGGCACCACCTGCCTGCCTTACTTTGGTGTGCCTGGGCACTCTTCAGCTGACAGCACACCGAGAACCCAGAAGAGACTAAGGGACGGCCAACCCCACGGTGGTCCCTCCAGCCAGGGCACACCTCCTCCCACAAGGGGCACACTGCGTCTTCGTCACCTGGCTGTTCCTGAGTTGTATCCTTTGGAGTAAACTGGTAATTAAGTGCTTCCCTGAATTCCATGAGTTATTTTAGCAAATTATTAAAACCAATAAGGAGATTTTGTGGAATCTCTGACTTTATAGCCAAGTCACACAGAGTGCAAGGAACGTGCGACTGGGATTTGAACTGAGGGTAGTCCTATGGAACTGGACCCTTGACCCTGTACGATCTGAGGCCAACTGCAGGTGGTCAGTGTCAGAAATGAAGTGACTTGTGGAACACCTAGTTGGAGCACAGAGAGTTGGAAAATTGGTTGTTGAAAACTGGTGTTAGAGAACACCTCACTTCCTAAATATAATCTCTGCTTAACTGAGGAAAAATCATATTAACTTTTAGGAAGCCTTTTCAAATTCAATTTATGTTCAAGAATTGTAGTAAATAATTGAAATGATCATTTAATGCTTCCCAAAAAGGTTTGTATTGTCTCTGAATTCTTAATAGCTTAAAATACAAAAATTTAAGTCTTGTTAGAACAAAGTAGTTAGTTCAAAGGGGCTTTTTCTTTGGATGTGGGAGCAGTCTTGAGCATAACAATGTCCCCCAGGGGACTAGAAAAATCTTGTCACCTTCCAGAAGTCCCCAGCACCTCTTCAGGCACTGCCTGCACAAACTACTCTGCAGACACTATCACAGCAACATTTATCTGCATTATTTCTCCTGACCTCATTTCCCTTATTGAACTTTAATTTGCTAACAACTAGCCAATTCTCTGGACCGTGAAATGTGTTTTGAGTTACAATGTCAAATTCTAAAGTTAGTTCATCCCCAAGGTCACTGATAGAATTTCCATGAAGAATAGGGCTCCAGATCATTCCCACACAAGACAGGTGGGAGTTTGAATTGGATAACCATTGAGGAGAATATTTCCCTAATATATATCAAATACCTTCAAAATATTTATTCCCTTTTGTCCTATAAACACAAGTTCTGAGATTTTATGGTAAGAAAAGCTCAGAGTTACATACAAAACTTTATGACCATAAATGATTTATAATTACCAATTAAAAAAAAAAGTCTCATCATCCAAATATCTAATAATGAAGATTAAATTGTGATGTATCATATAATTTCTTAGAACATGTTTTTGGAAGTATTTTAAATTGTGGGAAAATATTTCCCACATGATGTTAAATGTAGAATAAAACATAAAATAGAAAATGCA